TCGCTTTCATTACGTGCCGCCAATGTCACGTGAAGGATCCTAATTTTACCCAACAAGTATAATTCTTTATACGCTATGTACAGTTCTTCTCAATTCCAATTCTTCTCGTTCCCAATTAAATAACAGCCTATATAAAAGGCATATAAGCAATTGATGGAATTGCAAATAGACCTTTGCAGTTTGAATTACATGATTGCTCGCTGCATGGTTACTTGATTTAGATTTATAGTCCACTCTCAATAGATTTCATCAAGATGATTGCACAAATAATACAATTGAAGAGGTTTGCGAAGAAGTGATTTTATATGACTAACGTAATGTTCCTGTTGTGGTCTGTGTTTTCCTTATTCCTGACTTCTTTGTTGGTTTTTATGAAAATTCTGTCTATTAAGTTGTTTGTAGTGATATTAGCAATCACTTGTATCAAATTAATTTTGCGAGTTATTAATTACTTCCATCCCGCTTATTTATTAAATGTTTTTGTAATATTTTAGAAAACCTGTATTTAGTTATTCCGTTCCCTCTAATTTGTTGCTTTATTTTGACAAATCGTGTTGACTATGGTTCGGTAATCAGGTTTACCAATTAAGTTTCTATTAATAGTTTGAAATACGAAGCACTAATACTAATACCAGATGTGCTTCTCATTTGTCCAAATATATTTTTTAAACGCGAGTAATTTTAGAACATATGGGAACATGCATCATACTTACTGAAAAACATCGTTATACAATTTAAAAAGTATCCAGAACGCGAAGATAGAAAAAAAGACGGTAAAAACCTGGAGTTGAAACTCCCCTCCTGATCACAAGCACTATTGACTTGGGCCACCGTGTGATCTTTATTAGGTCAAATATCAATAGCTGAACAAATTGAACATTTCAATGTCGGAACACACAAGGGCTACGTCGATGTGGGCCCTTTTTATCGACGGCTATTGATCAAAGTGGTTGAATTGTGTTTCAATCACGCTAGTAGTAGCGTCAAAACTATTGAAGTATTAAATGTACTTTATTCAACTGATCTTTGATAGAAATCGAATCATTTTATAAGCAAAGAAAACAGTTTAAAACCTGATAGGTGTCATAAACAAGCTTGTGACAAATACTGGCATAATATCTTCATTAGTTTAATAGATACATAATTAGTTATCTGAGAAAGTTTTTTGCTAGATAGACTATTGTTACATAATGTCAGCAGGAGGTCAAACTTTTACTCGTAGAGTTCAATTCTTAATAATAACGAATACGATGAAATCAACTGTTATTACCCAAATGGTTATATTTAGCTCTTCATGCAATTCATGACCAAACATTTTACGTAATCCAAACGTGAAATGGACTGTAATAATTTAATTACAAGGTAAATAATAATGGCAGTTGACATTTTACTTAAATGTAATAAAAACTGTTTGTGAGATAAGATATGTGTGTTTCCATAGATTAAAAAAAGCACTTGTGTATCCATATATGTACATTCCAAGCAATATTTATTCACGTATCTTCATAGTTTTTAACGGAATAACTGGCGTTTTATTTTTTGATTCTTCTCTGTTAGGTAATTTTTGCAGTAACCTACCTACTACAAAATTTTCAAGTGCAACAGTTAATTTACTGGCGCCGACACGAATGGTGAATCACTTTTAGTTTTTGCGTCATACGTATCCAGTTCTATGAAACTTATGCACATATGTATGTATGTATGTATGTATGTGTTTTCATGAGATGTAACGGTTATGACGTACGTTATTTAGTCAGACCACGTGTTGTCGCTATTTTCTTCACAATTGCTGTAACACCAGAGTATTCGTGTCCCTAGCTATTTATACGTCGCACGACTTAATCGCCATCCATTACGGGCTCAGCTCACATCGCATCCAAATGAGCCGACGTGATAACAAATCTTCGTGATCACTATGTCACGCGGACTTAGGCATACAATTTAGGACTATCTTGTGAAATAATTGCCTAGAGACTTTGCCATTCTATCATGCTTTTAAAAACATCTTACATAAGCAAAGAAATGAGCTATGTTTGTATTATCCATGAAATTTAAATTGGCATTCGCATATCAACAGGTGTTGATGTGTTAATATAGCTTGTAGCGAATCCAAAGCATTCACTTTTGATGATATTGTATCGGTGAAAGGTTCATTTGTAAATATCAAAGCGAAAGTGTAAGGCACAATATTATTGCGTAGCTAGATTGAATAGTAGTGTAGGTAGCAGTTGGTCATAACAAATTAAAATGTTCAATGCAGAATTCCATAAACAAGCAATTGGTTTCATCAACTGTTAATTTATTTTTTATTATTACGGCCATAGATTGCTGGGAGCTAGGAAGGTACTTTTAAAATTATTTTGCTAGCCTGGGATCGATAGTTGTGTAGAGACATGCATTTGACCAAATTTTTTATATATATTTGATGGGCCGACTAATTAATTATGATCCTTATCGAGAGCCGAAAATTTGAATAAAAACATTACTGAATTGTTATGTTCAAAAACATAAAATCACTTGTTTTATTAAATGAAACATCTCGTTTGTTATCCTCTGACACATCCTGTAGCTGACACTCAAATCTCCAATTTTCAATTATAATCGTAACGCATAAAGTGGGATGAATCACGATATGTATCGTGCCATTGTTTTAGGTCACTTGTTTGTGTATCCCTATAGAAGAACAATCTATGGACCGGAGAACTGTTATTTTTTCGTGTTGAATGAACTGTGCTTCATAATTTATTAGAAACAATCGTACTAGATTTATTTGGAAAACATAAGCAGTAATCATCTATTACTGGGTTTTACTCTTTATCTAGGGGCTTTTAGTTCAAAATACGTTTCAATGCACCCGGCTTTTTACTTCTCAGGAATTCAGTCACCTGCTGCATTTAAAGGGCAAAAACCCGTCTAGACGGCATTAGGCTGGAGTGCGGGCCTACACTTCCAACCTACCAACCACTACAAACGAGAACCTAGTATTTTCGATCGCATTATTTGAACACTGATAACGGAGACTATTTATTCTACAAAAGTATCAAGAGAGGGTTGGCCAACTAAATTCAGACAATATTTGTCTGAAAATAACCTTGTTAGGAGCAGGTGACCTTTGTGGCAAGAATACTAATTCACGTTAGTCCTTAGTTTAGGAATGCTCGTAGACTAGTAAAGTAAATGTAAATTGCAATTCTATAATCGGCGTCAGCAGGTTATTGTTTACTTCATTCCTCCATTGTCCGAGGTTCAATACGCTATAATATAGGTACGCCGCGACCTATTATTCGAACTTTAACCTCGTTACGTTATGCACATTTTGATTTGCTTAAACATTTGTGCTGCATGACCGTTCGAGTACCTCTCATTAAACAACATGAGCTTGATATCAGCTTTAAAAATTAAATTAAACTCATGAGTATTTTGATACTCAGGAGCTCTTGACGTAATTAAATTAGGCACAGCAACCATTACAGCCAATTACCTGGCTAGGTACATATCATCTTATGCCATGCTGTGTGGGTAACAAATTAGCATGTAATCCATTAGTAGATTAGTGTTTGATGGCGGTAGGTACCACCTGGCCAAGCCATTGTCCGTTTAGTGTATTACTTACTGGAATTTAGCTCCATATGAGGTTGTTTCATCGTCTAGACAAGGAAGGCTAGTATCATGTCTCCTGGGGGAATAGGTAGCGGACCGCAAATAATGTTAGCGTTGCCAGACCGTGGCGACGAGAGCCCATTGTGTGCTTGTTTGAGCTTCTATTATGGCTTATTCGCCATTCCTCCTGCCGACTGACGACTATATCTCTAGCGTGTGCTATTGTTTCTATTTTAGAATTAACTGAGTATTCGATTAATCTAATAAAAAACTGCTAAGTTCAGTATTGCACTAGCTCTGTGATTTTTAAATTAACTGCTGCCGGTCTATATCTGAATACTAAACAATTTAGTTTCCGTATTCATAGAGGCCTTGACGACAAACAATTCGAAATATTGCTAAAGTTAAATTTGTCAATAATACTTTGTCAATCTCTTTTCTAACTATCGATTCACATGAAAATTGTAAACAGGAATGAAAGGTGCACGCAGTGCAGACGTCATAATTCAAGGTCGTTGAAAGCAAAATATCAAGCACTACATCTAAATTGCATACCCACGACAACAAAGCAATTCTCCGAAAGGTACGGGGTTGTACAGCAAAAGAACGATGCAAATGCAAAGAACTAACAAAACTACCTACTTTCGGTCATTGTTCCCTGTTCGTTTGTCTTTGTGATTTTCAACTGGGCTTATGCTGTTCTGCCTTGTGATAATAAGTAGCTGGTATAAGTATTATTCCTTTGTATATTGTAATTATTTCTGCAACGTAGCCAACATTCTATGAATAGTCTGTATTCATATTATGCTGACCCGTATTCCTGTATGAGTAGGACATATTGTTGCAAGCCTATATAAGGTCTTAATAAATAGTCCACTATTAAAAAGTGCCTTTTAAAGAAATCTAATTCTATATGCTGCAGACAAAACACAGATGATCAATACTAAAGAGCCTTATTTAAATAAATCTAGTCCAGTAACATAAATCAATCTAAAGTAACGGGATAATACCGCGTGCAGTATGACGTCACGTCACGTATTTGCTTAAGAGCCGGGTCATATTCTGAATTTAACACCAGGCTGCGCTTGCGGCTGCAACGTAGAATGCGCTGTCTTGCGGTTCGCCTTGTGGTCGTCGCCGTTCGCCACTCACGCCCATAATCTGCGATAGGAATGCTAATAGAATTAAAAGCTTTAAATAGGCCTCTGTCTTGAACTGTCGCCTGACCTCAACACGGATTCAAAAACAAATGTGTCCCTTATTTTAATATTCCTGGTTTTTACTTCACTGTGTTTAAACAAACTTCACATTTACATGAGTACGTCTTTGCGTGCTTTGTAATTGTTAGCTATAAAAATAGAGTAGCAATTTTTTATAACGTTACCTTTCCTTTGTTACAGCAACTCAAAGATGAGCTCGGTGAAGTGGTCGCGGAGCTGGAGGCTCTGGATGGGCAGGAGGAGTGTAAGCAAAACAGTAAAGCCAAGCAGATGAGTATAGGAAGGAAGAAATTCAATATGGACCCGAAGAAAGGTGAGCAAAAACTACGAAATACATCTCGAGAGAGTATGACAAGCCCATTTACTGAAGGGCCGTAATACCTGATCAGTGCATCTTATAAAAACTAGCAGCATGGCCGTTCGTTCGTTTCAATTACTGGAATAGAGAAAGTATCTGAGTTACTTTTTTGATACGAGCAACGTTCTTGTCTTTCTTCTCGGTGGATTGGTCATACAAGGACCTGCTTTCTCATTTAGGTTCATTACATTTTTATGAGGCAGATAAATCATTTTACACTTATGTTTTTAAGAGATTGTGAGATAAAATCATTCGAATAACTGGCGAACTGCAAAATTCCATACAGTTCAGACGTTAATTTCTTGCGGTTCATTAAAGAATCTTATGATGGAATTATGTAATCGAAAAAAAAAATGCTTATAGCCACTCACTCCAATATTTAAATAGAAACGATAAAATAGTACAATAAAAGGCTTATATTATGTAGCTCTAGACTTCATTTTCACAAATGTCTAGACAATTTAAGTATAATGTGTTGGCTAGGCATTTTTATATGGTAGACATTGTAGTCAGGCATTATGTTTCTTGGCTTACCATCAAGGTTTCGAAATCCTCAATGCAGATCGAATAGCCACTTTATTACAATTTACAATTCAGCAATATTTCTATCTCAAGCAATTGGAATGATGACAGGGTATGAAAATTAAAAATATAATTAGATAAAACGAATCAAAGTTTAGGAGGGGGGCTAAAACGTCATTTCTACGTATAAAATGTAGATAGAAGTGACGTCACGCGACATTTCAAATCAATATATCATCGAAAGTATTCGTTTCTGTAAGAAAATAAAAAATACGTGTCTAATGATTTAAAATAATCTACCAGGCGGGCATTAAAATAAAAATTAAGCATCTACCCTATTGTTTAGATATGTGACTATGATTAAGAAAGAGTCTTTATATCTCTTAGAAATTAATATATGAAGCAATTAGGTGTTTTTATGGGGTCCTTCGTCATTAAAATAATGGTACAAAGAGAATTCTTGGTACAATGCTATGCGATGCGGCAGGTGCGGCGTTCTCACGGCCGGTCAAACGACATATTCTGCAAATTGTTCTATTCCTGCACTTTTACACCTGTCCAACGGACAACTCTTGTTAAATAGATTATACCTAATCATAAATAAAAACAATTTTCCACCACCATTTGCGTGTTTACAGCATTATGCTGTGCCTAAAATCCTCTTAAGTTCAACTTTATCGCATGTTTTTGACATCAGCAAATACCGAATAATGCTAGCCGTGATTTACAAGTGAGTAACGATAAAATTATTATAGTTCAGGCTTATTTCGTACATTTTGCTAGTTTCATCTTTAATTATTTATTATTATATTAACTAATTTCTAAACTACGTGCGCGTACAATCCTTGAAAAACTCGTAATTGCATGTTCTACTTTAAAATAGCCTCGTCACCTCGATATTTTGTACCTGAGTGCACCTTATATTTGCGTTATTCTAGCTGATCGCGGCTAATGGCAATACAATTTATAACCTTATTTTTTGCAGAAAATATTCTTTCACCCAACGGTATATTCCTAAAACACATAAAATAATAACGTTAAGACCTCGATCTGCTTTCATTCTGGCTGAGAGAATTTTTGTTCGGCTTATCGATCGAAACGAGTCCCTTTTAAAACGTGTAGAACCTACGTTTCTCTCGTAAAATGGCTATATGCGTTAGAAAATGTTTCAGTAACGTTCGAATCTTTCCATGCTATGCTTCATTGCGTTCTCGTGATCATGACTCTGGCACTTTACGCTACTATATTAGATGTAATCGCTACCAGTGGTCGCCATCCTGTAATTAACTCGATAGGTGGACCTGATATAGGTTAGGTTTCTGCAAGTAACGGTACAAATTACTGCTATCAAGAATGCTTTCGATATGGTAATAAATCATCGCCCGCATTAGAGGGAAATTGAGAGTTTTTGTATGAAACTTGTACTGGCTTTGTGTTGTATCTTGTTCAGTATTTGTGGATAATATGCTACGAAATTATCAATTAAATGTAGCTGCATTTTCTTTGTTTATGGGCCATGGAATTGCATTAAGTTCCTCTTACCACCACTCCAAATTACATTTCATATAATTATTTTCGTGTATAGAGATATTTCTTATCTTCTATCATCTTTATTAGACTGACATTTCATGACCTCACAATAAAAGAAGCAGAATCACAAATTCTTTTTACCGGCTAGTGTTCCGGTACTAATTAGGTCATGTTGACAGTAACAACTAGCCTCCTGAGGGGTTGGATGCAAGGCACGAGGTCTACTGAATACATGCTTCAAGCTTGGCAGACGCTCGAGCACTCCTGTTCTCAAGAGGAGGCGTAATGGGATGTAGTCGTATACCTGGACGCTTCCTAATGATGTCATCCCCTGAATAGATTCATGTCTTGTGACTTTGTGACAACTATTTTCATAAGTAGGTAAACAAAACAGGAAAACTTCATAAAAACCTCGAATCTTTCGTCAATGTATTTTTTGTCATAACCAAGTGGTTCCACATTAAAAATTCAACATTTTGTTAGGCAATACAATTAATCCATAACGTGCTGTACCGTTTGTTAATAATTCATAGTATTTTGTTGACCGGCTTTACGCGGTAACATTATTTCTGCGCGTTAAGCCAGCTTCGCATCGGGATTAGCCATGCTGGATTATGGCTGCGACATTACGGTAAAGGGTAATCACTCTTACAGAATCGTAAATATGGCAGCTATTTATAAGAAACCTTTATAGCTTTATAAACTGTCTTTACGTTGACTATTTATATGAAAAAGTAATGAATAAATTATAAGACACATAAGAATAATCTAAGTTAATAATTGTCTGATGACTAATTGTGAAGTCATCAAACCACCACCATACTTTTGTTTCGTGTGAACTGGGCAGACTTACTAAGTATTATTAGTCAATATTTTTTCCTCCTGACTGTTAACAGATCGTCAGATTAATTCTGAGAATTAGTTGCAACATTAAATTATTAGCTGACCATCATTTTCACGAAACTGTTGCGATACTACGAGACTGAAATTCCATTTAAAATACATTTGAATGATCGAATAATAATCCAATTATACTTGAGAAAGGCTTAACACACGACTGGATTCTCTTAAATCTCATACCCTGGTTGATTTGTTAAAATATTTCTACACCAGGAATGTTGTTAACAGCAAATAAATTGAATATTTTAAGCGGCAAAAAGGCGTTAATATGCTGTGTATTCTGTAAAAGCATTGTTGTTCAATTGTGCGTGGTCTTGCATGATCGAAAACATCTCTAATCTTAGCTGAGCAATTAATTTGCAACGACATAATCATGCAGCGAATAGAAAATAAATGAAAATTATTGCTGATATTTAAATATTAATTTAGTTGACTGTGAAGCAACAACTGTTATGACCGAGACATCAGACACGACTGTCCCCAACAATTGCATAACTCTAGCCTTACTCACTTCATAACTGCATATCTGCATAAATAATTTTAATTACGTAAAACAAGAGACTCCAGTGACTTCTTTCCCTTGGGAAATTATTATTCAAACTTCTTTCATTGTTCACAGCAACTGAACTGTCCACTGATTTTTAGCCTTTGTTTATAGCCCACGCAGATATATTTTACCTGTTTTGTTACTTATTAAAGGAACATGACATAAGCTTGTTGACTGATAGAGTACCTACGTAAGTACAGTAGATTGTCATGCATCAATTACCATTAATCATCTTGTTTATCAGCCTAATCGTTAGTTAACTTGGTTACCCACAGCCTGTGTCAATTTATCCATTCGTGTCACTGAGACTTTTCATAACAAGTTTTACGAACTGAAATCTGAAACACTTGATGAATTATGTAAAATCCAACCGATAAAATCATTCGCTGGGAAATGCTATTTCAGCCACTAACCAATAAATTGAAACCAGTCGTCTATCATACAAGTCTTACATAATAACATTTTATTTATTTTAAACTTCACTAGAAGTCAATACACTTAATTGATTAAATGCAAATGTGATTACTATAGCTAGAGTACTTTTACATACGTAAAACATTTATGTTCCTTCAATTACATGGCTGCTGAATCAAAGCATCGATCTGGTTTCATGTTTTAGCAGACGGCGCGCCAGTGCGCTATCGCTAACAAGCTTGTTATTGTTGCAAGCGTCACACGGTCGCTCCGCTTCTCGCTCACTTAGCACCAACGATCCGTCATGCTGCTATCTGCAATTTTGCATGCCGCAAGATGGAACCTTCAGTCGACACCAACATTTATAAAACAGCCAAAGTGCAAACTCGCTCGACATATACGATACGGAAGATAAATGGCTTATATTTATCGCGTACTTACACCCGATGTAATTCGCAAAGATTTTCAATGGTAAAATATTTTCGCTGTAAAATCCCCTTTGGTTGCTAAATCGCTGCTTGTGCTTACGTAAAATCCTTTTTTTTTCTGTATAAGTTTTGGCGTTTATTTACAAGTGAAGCCTGAAATACTCAGCCCACGCTTATTACCCCCCATTGAAGCTCCTGGCTCAGTGTGGGGGCGGATGACGTCATTCAAGACCATTAGGATTTTGTACGCAGTACAATTGTGACGCAAATATTTAAATTGTATAGAGTTCCTTGGATGGTGGCAATAACTTCAGAACCAAATATATTATTATGTGTATTATAAATTATGTAGTATGCCATTTATATTATTATATTCTGTGCATGTGTATAAACGAACATACGTAGAATCCAAAACAAAGCGTAACTTATTTCTGAAATAAATGACATCCGCAAATTATTACTATTTATTTCATTGTAGCAGATCATATAATTTTAATAGCTTGCTGTTGTAAATGCTCGGTATTGAAAGGTCGACACTTAGCATTTACATAGCGGGCATTGTTTGCATGGAAGTGCATTCCACTGCTCCTACGATTACAGCTCCAAATGGGTGCAGTTACGGTCATCGTTCGCTTTCTCAACATTTTGCGTATCGTCGAGAGCTCTACTAAGCTTTTAACAGGCTTCGCCTGCGAGATGGAACGTTTTACAAAATATACAAAGCGGTCGGTCATTTGTATTCCACAAAATGAGGATGTTTCGCTATGAATGACGTGAATATTAATTGAGGAAGGAAAATCATACAAATGAAATCCAATGATAAGGTTGTAATTTAAACTCGTTCCATGCTCGTTGTTTGTATGTTTGACTAAGTAACACTTGCACATTTTATTGATGGTGACTGTTAAATCAAACTATATGTAAACTGAAGCAAAAAATATGCAGTATAGAGAAAGCTTATTGCGAAGTTACTCCTGTGATTTCTTTTGCAATTTAAGGCTTTTCGTTCAGTCACATGATCTAAATTCGGACACGGTAAAAGTTAAATTTTCTCTTTATGCCATGTCACAATGCCTGGGAGACAAATATATTTCCCACTATTTTATTAATTCCAGAACTTCTTCACATATGCGTCCAATTATAACACGTGTGAATTTTGTTTTAGGAATCGAATACCTCTACGAGAACGGATTATTGCAGAGGACACCTGAAGATGTAGCGCAATTTCTTCACAAAGGTGAAGGTCTAAGTAAGACGGCGATAGGTGACTACCTCGGTGAACGTTCAGAATTCAATGAGGCGGTTCTCAAAGCGTTCGTTGAATTACACGACTTCACGGACCTAATACTAGTTCAGGCACTCAGGTGAGTTGAAGACAGTTTAAACATATCTATAGTAGACTTCAGAGACCAAGCAGCACATGAGTGGTTTCTTTGATCAGAAAATAATTTAATACACGAAACAGGCTTTAGTAAAATATAAACGAGGTGAACGCCCGTTTCCCGGTGCCAAGTGAAACCTTTTACTTTAAAATTGGATCAAATGGCTCGATTCTATTTCAGGTGATATTATATTTTCAAATGGCTATGTAGTTTTAGGATTATCTAATGCATAAATAAATGGCAGTAGTCCGAAACGAGTTTTCAAAAGTGCGATAAATAGTTGTAAAATGTGCCACAGCTAGTGCCAGGAAAATTGTAAAACTAGTAGCACTAAATCAGGAAGTTATAATCTTGTTTTAATATTTACAATTCGTGTGTGATGCTGGTTTCCTTGTAAATTTAAATAAGAAGATTACTAGATACCTTTCGGGGAAAACTGAGATGTGTAAATAACAAATATTTTGACATTAAATGAAAACACATTTTTAATTACATTGTTTATCTGTAAATAGTGTTTGCCTGCTAAAGTAAAGACAAGCTACAGATAATAATTTGTTGTTTAAGAAATTCCAAAATCGATAAACATTTTTATTGCTCGATTTCGGCGAAATAAAAAGATGAGGTTTAGTTTTTTACGAATGGTCTTTGGAGATATACCAACTTCTGTTTTTGGCTTATCTTTTAATTTGATGAATATGTATCTACTTTTAAACATCTGACAAGCTCGTTGGTTTTTGTTGAATAAAACAAATAAACCATTGATGTGTTTGTCTGGAGTCTCATCTTCACTTGGCATTCGGAAACGTTTCACTTGGCAGACATAGCATTTTGAACTAAGGTCATTCACATTTCTCTTTCTCAGACACATAAGCGCACATGCAGAAAAACGAATAACGTCTCCTCCATTATATACATATAGAAAGTTTAATATCGAGATCTTGTTATAAACATTCTCCGTGTAGACGCGTTAATGGACTTCTATTAAAGTGCTGCTCTTATCTATTACAGACAATTCTTGTGGAGTTTCCGTCTACCGGGCGAGGCTCAGAAGATCGATCGAATGATGGAGTGCTTCGCTCAAAGATATTGCCAACTAAACCCGGATATCTTTACGAACGCGGACACATGTTATGTACTAAGTTTTGCGATAATAATGTTGAACACTTCACTACACAATCCCAGTGTTAAGGACAAACCGCTGCCTGAACAGTTTGTGGCTATGAACAGGGGGATTAACAATGGCGGGGATCTACCGCAGGAGTTACTCTTAGTAAGTATCTAGTGTTAGCAATGTTAGTCTAGAGATAGAGACATGTTTATTAAAACTCATTTCTTTGTGTCAATGTACTTTACCAGTGACAGTTCACACAACAGATATCTTATGTTTACTAACATTGACTGTTGACTGATTGGTTTTATAAGCTGGGATGGGAGCACTCGAGTGTCAATTGTTTCGAACGTTGTTGGAGAATCTAATTATGATAAAGGTCGTCCCATTCTATAAATATACTGCCGAGTTCCGGATTTGTATGGGATGGAATTTAATATTTCCCGGCCTAGACAGTTCGTCTAGCGTCTCCGCCCACGTTACTCTTACTGACGTCATTGTAGTAGCATTAGCACTTCGTGTTAGGTATCATAGTAAAGTGTACTGTATAGGCAATATTTAGGTCGCCTCGTGCCTTTACTTATAGTTGACTAGCATGCGAGGTCAACGGCATACATTGTATGAACAGTATTTTTTAAAATAATTCTAACTTACGTGTTAGGTGCTTACCTAGGTGTTTCCAGTGTTTTCTTCAAGTCTACATATTAATTTATTGTGGTATTGTAGACAAACATGTACTACTCAGTGCTTACTCATACGAAATTATAAGTACTTACATAATTAGTAACTGGTAACCACGTAGGTACGCAGTTAAAGTTATCATTTAAATTCAATTAGGGTATGAATCAATCTATTTATTGTGGTACAATGCTCATGACAATTCTAAGATATTATTAAAATACAGTTTAATGATAAATAAATATGAAATATTGATGGACATTTAATTTATTTATTTGAAACAGTAAAATATAATATTAAAGCTATACTAAATGTAATTTAACAAATACTTAATTATTTAGTATTCCAAAATTAGGGTCCAATTGAACAATTAAATTCTTCATTTGAACATGAGAATTGTGGTGAACTAAACTTGTTTTATATGGTTAATTGAAACCTAAACCACAAAAACATGGTTTTTGGTACCTACGCAATTAATTATAAAATTAGTTTTCATTTCATTGTCATAATATTGTTACAGGTACATAATTATTCAAGTTTCTATTTTGGTAACAATAAGTGTTGCTAAAAACCACTGGGAAATACAGTTTCCTGATTGCGTTGTCATTAACTGCGTTTTCCTAATCGAAATCACGTCAAAGTCGCATACTTTTTGTTCCTTTCCGTTGTGCCGTTGTGGCTAATGAAACAAATATACTCATAAATGATAAATACTGCATAGATAATGCATGTTTACTGGTATCGATGCCAATAGCTCGACACACTGCAGTAATGTTACCGCAGAATATTATTGTAAGTGCGCATATTCACGTACATAGACAAAAGCACGTTTACTATTTTTATTTCAATGTTTTTGCTATCATAGGTCGCGGAAATGTTATTCCTAGTTATAAATATCAATAAATTATAATTAGTTTAAAAACAATCACGATAAACCGGCCCAATCTGTAATGGTAATGACTCGAGTTGACGTAAATAACTTTGTAAACAATCTGAAATCATTAGTGGTGTTATCTGTGAAGTAACTGCGCGATAAATATCAGTATCTTAATGTCACAGTTGAATGTGACTTACTGTTTAAACTAGTGGTTTTATGTCCATTCACGGACGGTAAAAGTATTTAAATACAAGCCACTAAATGGGAGTTTTAATTTTGTTTATACTCGTGTCTATTAACTCCTAAACTGACGAACTTATTTTCGTTCACACCCTGTAAGTGATGTTTACACTGTTAACTCTGTGGTAATATTATGTTTTATTGAGTTTTTATTTGTTATTTCCAGTCGCTGTACGAGTCAATAAAAACTGAGCCGTTCAAAATACCGGAGGACGACGGCAACGATCTCATGCATACTTTCTTCAATCCAGACAAAGAGGGATGGCTGTGGAAACAGGGAGGAAGGTAAATATAACTATTTTAACATTCACCAAAATATCCGTAAGGAAAACATTTAAACGGCAAATGGTTTATACATGCGAGGTGCGAGGTGCGAGGTGACCTGTCAGATTTCGCACGATGAGATCTTTAACCTTTTAAATTTTACATGTATTTGACAGGTGAACTGTTCTTACTCCACCTCGAATATTTAAATCTTTGTTCACGTGGTTACGGAAAACTAAACAACTCAAAGACGGGAGATCTCACGTTACACTTTCTTTTTGCGATCAAATGTCATTGAGATTAATGATTTCAAGTGCCTTCGTTTTTCATATTACGTAACTTGAACCTTTGCAAACCAACGTACATATTATTTTGGTTTATTTCACTGAAGAATGTTGCTGGTCATGAAAATTAATTGGAATGTAAAATACGCCGGTTTTGTTCGCTTAAAATATTTGTTTGCGAATGTACCTACCTATTTACGTAAAACACGCGTAGTATTTTGCGTAGCGTGTTGCTATGGTTGTGGGTCGTTAACGTGAGATGCTAATACGTATTATAATTACCACGTGCTCATTAGCCATCGTTCGAAACACGCGAGTGAAGTCACTTTGATGTCATTTGTATTGTTCACATTTTATTTACTTACACAAAATTGTGATAAGTGCGGAACCGCCCTTTTAATCTTATTCCCATTAACCTAAAACACGTAACGCAGGTAAATGAACGGTAAAAAGACACAGGCATTAAACTCCGGTCTGACTCAAACCTAATAATATTATTTATTATGATTGAATCTAGAAGCTTTTTGCCGTAAAGGTTCAAAGCGTGTTATTTTCCCCATTTTTTGGCGTTAGTAAATTAGAATCAGGTATCGTAAACAGGTATTGTGAATTTGTGAGATGACATCATATGTTAAGAGGTATGATTTCATACCTTTGTACCTGGTCAACTAATGTGACGCGACATGATCCGCTATGGTTAAAATAACACTAGATTTATACGAAAACGTCTATTCACTAAACAAGCATAGTACACAAACTCAATCCAAATTAACAATAGAGGATCTATTCACTTAACTTATACTTTTTTCTATTAAAAACATCTACCTGTACTAACATTAGTTTTTTGTTACATTTCAGATACAAGTCGTGGAAGAGACGGTGGTTTATACTGAACGATAACTGCCTGTACTACTTCGAATACACGACGGACAAAGAACCCAGGGGTATCATTCCATTAGAGAATATTTCTGTAAGTATTATGGACAAAAAAGTCCTTTTCTCATGTATTCTGGTAGGCTCTTGACTGCTCAGTAGGTACTTGTATCTTTGAATCCCGGATTGTAATATTTACAGTTATTATAGTATATGGCTTACCTACGTGAAAATGTTGGAGAATCTCTACTAGTTTCAAGGCACACTGGTACTCATAATATGTATAGATTATTTTAGTTATTAAAATTATACTCGCTAGTCACTTTACTGTGGACAAATGTGTAAATTAATTACAGTATCATAAAAAATTAAGATGTAAACCTATTATAGTTTCTTCTAACATTTAAAACAAAACAAGATTGGTATAAAATTAATAATAAAAGTCAATGACATCGTTAATACGAATTACAAATTCAATATTGGTCGAACAATAATCCCTTGTATAACATAGGTCGTTTATCTACCATAAGCCGTACAAATGTCAACTGCTGTCCCCTCTAGCGTACAAACTATGCAGGGTTCATAAATAATGCATTGTACTTAATAATCAATAATCTAAACTAGTCATAACTAGGTGTTTCTTTTGTCAGGTACAACTAGACAAACTAGTTTTATGTCGCTTCACATTCCATACGTCTGTCTCTTTGCTAAGTGGTACGCAGCAAATATGGCGAACTAGTTTTAGTTCTAAATAGACATGTTGGAGACAATGTATTGTCGATATGACTGCCTTGTTTGTTACGTGGTCACAGGTGTATCTTTTTTGATTCCCAAATCAACCAAAATATTATTAAGATTTTCGCTGTAGTATACCAGGTGTAAGAATTTTTGAATAACTTGCACCGAACTATATCTTTATGTTGATATTATTATTATTAACGATATGCCTGCCTGTTTTGATCGTAAATGTAATTTGTTTACGCGATTACCGCTAGACCACTACTCGAACAAAAAGTGTTAATCAGTTTTTTTAGTACCTATGTATAATATTAGCATAGGTAGTATGTTTTGCAGAGCCAATGGTCATGCACTTGACCTCTCTGTTGTATGTGGTTGCCATCCTGTCAGATAATTACAATGAGAGAATAGAGCGATTCTGTATACTTATGTGCTCTCAAACTATTTACACAATAATGTAGGTACAATAAAGTAGATACACAATAATGCGATAGGGCAGACTAGTTGAGATTGGAGATTTAATCTATCTGAAGGTACCTTGTTATTACCGGTATACAATATTTATTAAAAGTTTTCGAAGGAAAATTCATTCACCATACGTTGTTGGTAATAATTTGTATGATTCACGTTGACCATGGTGTTTACCCCTTTCCTAGTGTCCTAATTTATAGGGAAAAGTGATACCTGACCACTTAAATGGTAAATGACTAGTAGTTATTTTTCTCCTTATCTGCATCACGTCGCGCTTTTGAAAAATAATAAAGAACAATGACATAAATGATATTGACTAATGTATTAAAATAATTGCGACAAAATAATGTTGCTACGAGATTTTCTCTTAGATTACTTATAGCAAACTGTCATTAAGTGGCGCCAAGTATGTCAAGAGAATGCACTCGAGATTCGATAACGAACCTACATTTTCGATCATAAATGATAACTGCAATATTTGTATACCTTTTGCAATCGAAAGCAGATTACGATGAATGGAACTTTGTTCTATGTCGAAACTATAGTAAACCTTATATACAGAATTCCGTCATTTATTTCATTATCTATAGATTTCATCATCATCAGCATCATATTAGCCATAGGACGTCCACTGCTGAACATAGGCTACATAATATCTATAGATTTTATTGACATGAAAGGTTTTTAAGATTAAACATTTCTTAATAGCAATAACCTCTTCTCTTTACAAGTACATTGTAAAAGATACAATGACCTTTTACATTCAGAAAAATAAGGTGTTGAGTGTTTGTCAATATTTACTTTTAGAACTTGTTTCGCGATGAGTCTTGTATCGTTGTACACTTGTACAGTGTATGTAATATATGTGTTATTTGGTTGCAGGTAAGGCCAGCGAGCGACAGACAACGGCCTCATTGTTTAGAGCTTTACGCGAGCGGTGGAGCTGATCTCATAAAGGCGTGCAAGACTGACTCCGAGGGGAAAGTCGTCGAAGGCAAACACACTGTATACAGGTAAATATCCCTGTAAATCATCTTCTACAAACAATTTGCTCACGTTTTTATGTAAACATAACGTGTTTATATTGCATACAGGTATTTATGGGGTCTTTCCTCGTCGCCAACACTACCACAGAGTTTGGGATTTTCATGGGTCGTTCATAATTCTGAAAACGATAAAGTGAAACCTAGTTGTGTTGAGTCAACTTTAATTAACTGTAGTAGTGAGAAATGTAACTATTTCCCCATACAATTTTATCGTATTCATTACCTACATACAAGAAAGTAACGATGAAACTTTCGAAGAATTTAAAAATTAATGTGATTATTTTTCATTCCAGAATGTCGGCAGCTACAGCGGAGGAGCGAGATGAGTGGATCGAGTGTCTCCGCCGCTCCATCAGTCATAATCCGTTCTACGACATGTTGGCGCAGCGCAAGAAGAAGGCCCAGCACAACGTGCACTCGGCGCACTAACTACACACCGTGCCAGTACCGAGTGTACCTACCGAGTTTACCTTACAATATCTTCCTTTGTCAATTGGTATTGTGATGCGCCGGGGTGGCTCCACCCTGCAGTAACACGAGCAGTGTTGGGACGTTCATGATGAAACACAGATAACATAAGTGCAATTCAACTACATCAAACCACCTCAGTAAACGAGCCTTAATTTTAAAATGTGGTTTTATACAACTTCGGCCCAATAAAAGTAAACTATAAGTGATCTTTGTTTTTGGGGTATAGCCTATATTACAAGTCGTGTTTCTTTAACTCCTAATATTGACATTTATCATAATTTATTGTAGAGAATATAGTAGAATTTTATAAATACAGTGTACCTAAAGAGTTATAGAATGAAATAATATGCATAACGAGTGATATGTAATGCGTCTGATAATAATATAACGTCTGTATCAACATTGATGGCGAAATAAGTTTTATTTTATCGTGTTATTTTGTATCAAAGTCATAAGTGAGCTTAACCCCGTGGTAACGTCCGTCAAGAGTCAGCTAATGACTTGACAATAGCCATTAGTCATAACTCCAATGAATATGTGATATTTAGCCATGATAACGTCGTACGGAATGTATTGTGTTGTACATATCTGAACACATAACTACGCATCATTCATGGCTGCTGGTCCATGTATATAAACGAAGGAAAGACTGAAAATTGTGCTTTTTAAACATCGCCTATTCGAAAGTGGAAGTTGTAGTCGCGTGCGTATTCATTATCAGATTGTCAACGTAGTTGTAATTTATTTTATATCACACGTCCGCACCTAACACAATTAATCGCACATCGACGATACATGCTGTAAAATGAAGCGGGACGTGACTTGTATGTTACTGTCTTAGAATACAACTTGGTGGAAAAGTGACTGTCAGTCACTGCTGTGAGATTAGTTATGATTGTTACGATGAATGAGTACTGCCAAAATTACAATAATTTGTTAAAACAATAAATATGAGTTATAACATTTCCTAATGTTATACAACATATTGTTTTATCATCTTTTCTCAGGACAATAAGTTCGTTTTGTGAGATCGACAAATGTTTTGTTGATCTTTAGCGTAATAACACCATGGTGGAATTGTATTCAATGAAAGTATTACTTTATTATTATTGTATTGTAACATATTATGTGAAGAAAGTGTAAAGTAATACATGTATAAATAGTTAATTAGCCTAACTAAGTGTATGGTGGCCATTACTTCTTGGGAATGTAAATATGGCTTGATGACAGAAGGTAGATAAGGCAGGGCAGCCAATTTTTGAAAGACTAATTAATGGGAAAGAGAAATAAATCTCAGTAAGGATCGGTTTTATTTATGTTTTAGTCGATAAATGGAATAGTGGTTATGGTTGGCGTCATCATTCTCATCATCATTTCCGCCCATGAACATAGATATAAACTGTAGGTAATTTTATAGTACTCGCCTTTAAAGTGGCCTAACATCAACATTCAGTGTCATTAACAGTGATTTGATTAGTATTTCAGAAGTTGGATGTTGTCACTAGTATAATTTTACATTAGATGACAAAATTTTAGTTAACATTCCTGTTCTTTAATCTAAATCATTTCAAATGAATGTGGATGCAACTTTGCTCCAATTATGTTTTAATTATTCTAATGAACTGTTTCTTTCTAGTTGAATTCTTTATGTTCTGTAAATAATTTCATATAACATGTACCTAATTCAATTTCATTTAATTCTAATTCAAATTTCCTATCTTTAAAATGAAAAGTGGATGGAGTGTAGTAGTGCGAAGGATTATTTAGAAAAATCTTCTGATTGGCTACATATAAATCTACATATTATTTTTAAATTAAAACGGCCATACTCATATATTGCCTTAATTTTTATATAATTTTAAATGTATCATGTGAATAAGGCTTTAAATAAAACAGTGTTAGAGATATATTTATCCATTTATTCTAGGAACATTACAGATTAATATGGCTGTTTTAAATGACATAATTATTCACTATTATATGTTTTATTGAAGAATAATGTTTATTATTATATTATTTGATTTGTAATAATGATATTAGGGGAGGTATAAATTCTGTTTTGTAATTATTGTTTATGGAATGGTGCCTACAATGATCTGCAACTAGTTTAACTTTCTATAGTAGTTAGAGTACCTACGTATAGTGCGCTGTAAATTCGCTTTAGAAACGTTAATTTATCAATGTAATGTTTTATATGACAGCGGATATGTGCATAATAATGGTGTTGTAAATAATTTTGTAAGAAAATGGATATACATAAAATATGTTTATTTACTACTTGGATTTTATTTTAGTCTAATTCCTGCTTCCTTATATTACTTTTATACCGGATGAAGAAAATATAAAAGCTGTTAAACGGTTTAGCGCATACCTCATATAAGGTATGCGCTAATTGCAGTAATTAACATGAACGACAGTGAGTATTAATAAATTAATTATATGAAGAGTGAATAAAGTCGGTGCTACACGATTACGATAAATGGTTATCGTTCCTCCACGCAAATTGCAATACTCGAATAACCAGTTACATGTACAAATTTTCCTGAACACTTGTTTAATTCGACCGACCGTGACGCATCCGCCTTCCTTTTCCGTTGGTGAAACGTGCGTTGCGCAAACTAATGCTGAAATTATATTATTGGCTATGTCCTACATAACGTACTCTATAACATACAAATTATTTTATGTTGTTATCTCATTACTAGTTGTTGCATGCGGTTTTACCAGCTTGGCCATAAGAGAATGTTGCCTGTATCATTTCAGCCAAATTTGAAAATTCATACCATATAATGCAACAAAATTGAAAGACAAACAAACAGTTATCCATTTATAATATTAGTAGGTACCTAAGGAATTGACGCACTATAAACGTAACTGAAATAGAGTGAGTGAGTGAGAGCCTAAAACGCAGGCAGACTTTATCTTGTTACCTAAAAATCTTAGTAGTTTTGGAGGGTGACAAATAGCGTGTCAAAGTAAACGAACGTCCTAACGAGGTAAGGTGTCATCAGTATCTATCGACGGGCGTCACTGGTACCTGGACCTCCTAATCTTAAGTCTACTATGGTAAGTCCTCCTAGTTAGATAATAATTTTGGTATTATTTGCTCATAACAATAATTATTGTAGTTATTTGGCTATAGAACAGTATTAATAGATATTATAGACTGGTCCGAATACCTAGAGTGGGTACGAATAGAATAGATACAAAGAGAATTCTTTTATAACGCCCCCACTAAGGTCTACGATCTAGCAGATACGCAATCATTGTATCAGTGTTAAGTTAGCGAACATTATGAAATACATTATAGGTACCAGCACTGATTTGCATACATTGCGTGTTCAAGTTACGTAGGAAGCTAGTCGTAAATTTACAAAGATCGATACAAGATTAGGTAAGTATTAGGAGAGGATGATCGATGATAATGCTTTTGTGTGTTTAAATGTGAAGGGTATATCAACTGAGAATCATATTTTAACATACTAACCTGCCTAATCTTGTTAGTTTGAGTGAATCATTTGTAATGAAACTTTTTTGGTTCTATATGAGTATTGAAACGCAGGCAGGCCTAGGCCCTACACTTACGGGTACAAAGTACATATCAAACTAAAAATAGGATCAACAATTTCATCATTAAATTAAAGTGTCAAAGTCTGTGCTGACTGGAGTTGAATTTACGTTGCGTAGCAGCTCGTACTGCATCCGCTACGTCAACCGTAGGTACAGGGAATTTTATCGTACAGGATATTAAATCTAACATGAATACTTACTTTAGATTTGAGATTATCGGACAGCAAATGATCATGATTTTATGATGAAGTGAAACAACTATTTAGCAGATCTATTTATGAAACGTCTGAAAACGTGACAGTATTTCCGCCCCCTCGTAGCGGGAAGCACGTGAAGCCATTAGCTACCAAGATAAGGGTTTCTGGATGAATAAGTATAATATTTTTTGAGATACTAATGGCACAGTTATTTACCACAGTTAGTTAGTTGTTAAAAAGGTATTTCTTTAAATGAAGCATACGCCATTAACACCATTCTCTTGCAAAGTCCAGTCAATCAATACCGCTACAAGAATACTTTAGCTAACCCTAGACCTATACAGGGACCCGAGCGTACGGCGCGTCGCGTTCCGCGCGCGCCTCAAAGAGCCATCAGACCACCACAGATGGGGCCCAATAGGGCCGATGCCGATTCGGAATTGCGGAAAACCTAACGGGTAACAGGGGCTCCGGCTCGACGTGCAGGAGAAGGAACGGGGTGGTTTTTAGTCAGTAAGAGTCTGACACTTAGGCGGGAGCAGACATTCGATGATTTTCAACCCTTAAAAAAGACCTATACAGGGCTACATACAATAGTAGGTACTAAGTTATAAATATTTACAAACAACAAATATTAAACAAGACCACCAAAATCCAAATGAGGTCCACAGGACACAATAGTGCGATTTCAATCACTCGTATAACAATTGCTTTGTACCTACCTCCTAACATATGAACCTACCTAATTCGTTTGTTGTGGCAGTAACATTGGCCAGTACAATTTAGGCTAGTCACGTTTGTCGATGGCACATCGGTAGCTACTCAGATATTAATGAGGATGATTATGACTGTGATTAAATATGTGCTAGCTGCAGGTGTGGTTCGAGATCGATTCAATGAATTCAATGTTTATTGGTCATTCGTTGTTAGTTTTAGTTTTGGTTGAGTTAATGCCTAATCTATGCACGTAGTAGTAATGAGGGTGATTAGTTTGTTTAATCGAATGCCTCGTTTTTAGTGATATAACTGATTGCGATGTTTCTCAGGGAGTTTTCTTTAAATTAGTCCCTACACAAAATACGATTGTTGGGAAGGTAAAAAAGTCTTAGAAGCTACTTAGATTTATAAATATGATATCATCATCAACTGTAATTTTATCCACGTGAGTTCCACGGATTAAACAAAGACCTTAGTCTGCCACTCCTAATGACATCTAACTTCATATCTCCCGTCCTCCACTGCGCTGGCTGTCTGGCTCTCCGTGATTCTGGAGGTATTGGCGGACCACCTACAGAAGACTTGCTCATGCTACATGTTCCGGAATCTAGTTGCCACTCGAGCACTTTCTTGACTTGAGTCAAGTTGAAAGTTAAAGTCATAATATTGCACAAAATGTAATGTTTTCTTACGGAATAAGGGAATCCCACAACCCTGGGGTCAATAACACGAGTAGGCAAGATGTTGGAGAGTTACAAACATTTCATTGTCTTGCGGTAAAGAAACAGATATAGCTGGCAAATAAATAAGTGGCTAGATAAATATTGTGGTTAGTATAATTGTTTAGCATTATAACCGGGGCTGTACCTAATGGTCCTACTTACTTACAATTGCTTATACTTTTAAAACAATGGCACTATTTACAAAACATATAATATTAGTAGCTGTTTCCTACTATGCATACAAATAGTCTACGGCCTAAAATGTAGGTAATTTAAAACAAAGCAAAAATGAAAATGTCCGCTTCACAGTGTCACTTGTCTTGTCTCCATGCTTTCTCTAATGATCATAGCAATTTTCCGCCTCACTTTCCACGGTTTCTGTAACATTGATACAAACAACAACTTAGTAAGTTACAGTTTAAAAAATCGGTCATGCGTATGCGCGACAGAGTTGCAGAGTTCCATGACGCTGAGATACACGTGAAAGAGTTTCCATTTTGCATGTTTTGGATTCAGAATTTATTAAATTCATCGTAACATAACATAACATAACAATAATACCTACTTTGTCAAATACGAATGAGAATACCCAAGAACTTGTTTTGGCTATCTTAGTATCTCAATATGGTACAGAGATAGGCTGATAGTTAACTTTATGTTTTTAATTATATTTTAGTCCTTAGTCGTTTATTATCACAATGCTCCATATTTAGACGTCCTCTGCAACGAGAAATGCACTTATATTGCAAATTGCGGAAACTGGTCTCATCCTAGAAAATGATTTATTCTAAGAACCTTCATTCAGAAACAAGGTTGGAAAATGGAAAACCTGTTTATTGTGAAGATTTTCCTTCTATATAAATTAGTTTTACTCTAAGGTACTGTTTATTTTTCCTATAATTAATTTTAATCATAAGTTGTATATATTTAATTTAGTAATATTTAGTTTTAATTTTATTTATGTAATAGTTGTTATTTAAGTTTTTTTTATTCACCAAATAAAATGACATCAGGTACTGAAACTCTTTTTTAATTACCTCAGTTATTGTTGCTTACGTATGTCATCATAGTGATTGTGCTACAATATGTTGCTATGCTATAGTTAATAGCGATCTTATAATTATAAACACGCCATCATAGGCGTATGTCTGTTCATGATAAAAGTTATTTACGTATAGAACGAATACCAATTTTCACAAACCTGAAATTTAGAGTATAATAGACACTTTACGACATATTAGTTTTCATCAACCTATAAGTGACACCTAACGCTACAAGTAAGGGGTTAGTTTAGCTTCTTCTTCATGCTAGGTAACTCTTAGTTTAGACACGGTTTAGGAGGTTCCGTGCCTTTGGGCTTAGGTAATTCATTCTGTATCCTGCAGTAGTCCACTGGAAGTGGAAACGTGTTGACGCATCGGACTTCAGTGGTTCAGTGTTTTCATGGTTGTATCTACTATAGGTAGTTTAGAACAGCTGTAGATCCTGGCTTATAGGAGTTGTAGCGGTTGTAGCGGGTAAAAAAAATAAAGACGGTTTAGGAGTGGTTGATGGAAAGGCCCTAAGGCCCTACTGTATAGCTTCGTATTCTCTTTGTGAAGTAGAAGACCTATTTCATATCCCTGTTTTTGTAGCTACGGGGAATGATATAAAATGCTTTGCTTTGTGTCCAGTGGCAATCTCGGATTGTCAAATGAATGTTAACCGTATGCCTACGCATCATCTACAGCACTCTAGAACTGCTGTGTAGGTACATGTATAGGTAATTGTAGTATTTTCATAGCAGTAGAAATAATTGTTTTATGTATTCAAAGAAGATTTTGTTTTAAGTGCCTGAAATCTTACACAGGTACTTCTCCCACAGAACTCGTTGGCATTTCGCAATATTTCTTTAATTTATTTAATAAAACGGATTTAGGCAAGTACCTTTTTTATTTACTTACCTTTGACTCGATTCACTTAACATAATAATAACATCGTCAAATTATCCTGAACAAGCTATGTTGCTAATACTATGTTGATCGAGTCACAACGTAATTGAAAAGTGTATGAACTGCAAGTGCTATCTA